CTGGAGAAAGAAACGACTACGGAAGAGTCTCTTTAGGGCAAATAAAAACAACAACCGAAGAAGAGTATTGAGGACGTCATGTGTACGTTTCACACAGTACCGTAGCTTTGCATGCAATCATGATCGAATGGAACAGGCGGATTATGTCTCAGTAGGGCAGCGTACATTGTCAACCCACGCAACACGTATTCACGCTGCGGAGCAACTACAAATTCACACCTTTTCATCCTTCTTCTCACCGTTCTGTATATGTGAATGAAAACCGCAACAATGACCGGAAAATGCAACCGACTCCATGTTGAATCAATTGAAAACAAACGAAGAACACATTTTTTTAAGTGGGCTTCGACAAGGTACTCAGGATCAATCCCCTTTTCTTCTCTTTTACGCGAACTCGCGTATTACCACATCCACGCACCCCAATTTACTGCAGAGGGAAAGAAAATGCTGCGGCGATGCGGTGCGGCACTGGCTGCCAAAAAGCTTCCGAACCCTGGCAGCTCCCTATTAAACCCACGCAGTCACCGTGCGAAGCTCCGCCGTGCCGCCGCCCTCAGCGCGCAAAGCGAAGCGCAGTTTGAGAGCCAGGCGATGTTCGCAAAGGTTGGCGGCAGCGGAGAGGGGGGTACAGATACGCCGTCCCCCGCGCGCGCCTTCAAGAGCCGCAAGCAGCGTCGCGGCCACCACGTTCGCAGCGTCGTTGGCCGGGACGTTGCTGAGCGCGCCAAGGCGATGACGGATGCGGAGTGGGAGAGTGTGCCGATGGAGGACAAACACGCCTTCACAAAGTACATGAGTGAGGTTCTGCGGGAGCGCCCGACCGAGGCGACCGAGCAGCAGCGTCGCCGCTACTTCGAGACGACGATGATGGACCCGCGCGACCTCGACCCGAACCGCACTGTGCAGGACGAGTACGAGCGACTGAAACTCGGCCTGCCTGTGCAACTTAAAGACCCGCAGCGCTCCCTCGGCGTGTCGCAGGCAATCTTTGAATCAGGCGACGCGGGACTCTTCCACCCTGAGAACGTGGATCGGCTGGAGGAGGCGATGGTGCAGATCAAACAGGTGTTTGCCGACTACACACGTCAGCGACGGGAGGGCGTCAGCACGGAGGCGGCTCGGCGCAAGCTGTCGAACATGCTGGCCGAGCTGAATGTGGAGACGCAGCGGCATTTAAGTCACATGTTTAAGTATGCGGAGGAGAGGGTGCGACAGGCAGCACGAGAGGAGCGCACGCGTCAGCTGCGTGAGCTGCACCGTCTCCGCCAGCTCGTGCTTTCCCCGCCGAAGTCGTCGTCATCGTCATCCTCATCGTCTGCTACCGCCGTTGCATCACCTTCGTCCTCCTCTTCGTTTCAACAGAATGGGGAGGCGCGTGCTGACACAGCAGGCGGGCAAGAACAACAATCAATGACCGGCGTTGATTCGTCTTCTCCCTCCGCGTCCTCTGCCCCATCTCCTGCCACGCTGGCCACAACCAAAAAGCGTGCCCTTCTCAAAAAGTCCCTCGGCAAAGCGCTCGGGATGGAGCTGGACGTCGTGGAGACCCTCATCACCGAACTGGAGGCGCAGGAGAAGTTCATGCAGTTCTGCGAGGTCTTTGCGCGGCTGACGGTGGCGCACGGCTTTCAGCACGGCCCCGAGGACGAAGGCCTGGACGCCTACGCCGAGAGCCTCCGTCGCCTCTACTCCGTCGACGCGAACAAGCTCAGCACGCTGGACGTCGTGCAGTACCTCGCCGCGAAGGAGGAGGCGCACCCGGTGGACTGGGCGAAGCGGTGGTACGAGCGGCTGGTGCGCCTTCCTCTCGAACTCACACCGGAGTTTAGGCGCCTCGAGGAGATCCGCGAAGGGGACAAGGCCGCGCTGGAGCTGCAGGCAGCGGCAGCGAAAGAAGGTCAAGCTGGCGTTTCTGCTTCTGGGGGACACGATGCGGCAAAGCAGGCGGGACAGACCGCAGCTGCAGGTCGCACCCAAGACGCGGTGCGGTTGGTGGAAAAAATGTTCATGCGGCCCGATGATCCGCGACTGAAAAGCCTGCACGAGAAGCGACTGCGCTACATCGCGTATTTGCAGATGGAGCGCCAGATTGCGCAGGCGCGCGAGAACGCCAAACTGTTTGAGGGTGTGGAGGACACCGCCGAGGCTGAGGAGTGCCGGCGGCTGTACGCGCAATTGATGGAGCACAAAGCGAAGCGGACTGGCGTCACGCCTGCTGCACGAGGCGAGGCGTCCTCTTCCACCACCGCTCTCTCTGACAACGCGACAGGAGAGGAGATCAATGTCTTTGCGCAGGACCCCGAGGCGGCGGCTCTTTTTGAGCAGATCAGCCAAATCACACAGTCCGTGATCCGCACCTGCGTGAAGGACGCCCGTCGGCGCAGCAAGGCGGCTGCGAAGGCGGAGGTACTGGCGAAGGTTGTGAGGCACGTGAAGGGCGTGGCAGCAACCGCAGCAGACGGCAGCGCCGCTGACGCTACTGGTGGTGGTGACGGCGGTGCACCACGTGCGGGGGCGCTGCGTCAGCTGTTGAGAGAAAAGAAGGATAAGGTGGCACAGCGCTTGCTCAACGTTCTCGAGGCGGATGTGAAGTCGGACATGGAGTGGCTGGATGCGATGGACGATGCAGAGCGACCGCCTCTGCTGCCGATTCCCGAAGGCATGTCCTACGTGTCTGCGGCGGATGTGCAGGCCTGGAAGGAGGTCCGCGACGCCGACAACGCCCTGTCGGCCGATCCGTTTCGAAAGAGCAAAAAACAGTTCCAACCGAAGCTGTTTGGCCAGCCGTGGCAGATGCCGGACAAGCCGCTGCTTTTTTGGGGAACTGGCACCCGTGCGGTGCAGCAGGCGTTGGAGCAGGCCGCAGGCGATGCAGAGCGGCGACGACGTGGTGAGCCACTGGCTCCTCCCTACCCTTGTCCTGAGAATCCTTGGGGCTGGCGACTGGTGAAGGATATTCTGGATGATTAGGGCGAGACACAGCGAAGAAAACAAAGTGAGGTTTGATGTGGATTGGTGGATGCCTATCTTCTTCCTTTACCTTCTTTTCTTGGTGCCATACTTCTTATGAGTGTGGTTAAACGACGTGAAGGTGTCGTGTCGCTGAGAGTAACTTTTCTCTCCATACTTAACCGTTTGCGTCGGGGGCGGGGTCTTCACAGCTTAATACATAAAACAAGACAACTTACACTGATGATATCCATTCACCTTTTTCGTTCCCCAGTCGGGGTGGACTCGTAGTGGTTGTTGCGAAAGAGCTGGTTTCCAGCGCAGGATAACTTTGGTGCTGGCTTCCTCCCTCTGTGCTTTCTTATTGGGTGAAGCGGATGAGGTACACTCCGTTTTATTTTTTGTCGTTTCAAGCGGCGCTGTGGGATTTTCGTGTGAGCCCGGCGAGGGCTGCGCGATCATCTTGACGCTTTTTCTCTTGAGCGTCTACCAAATCAGCAACGGGAGGGCCTCTCGTATCTCAAGAGGAAACTGGGGTGGGTGGGGGAGGGAAGAATTGCTGTCGCGGTCACACTCCATTTTGAAACCTTTGCTGTTTTTCTTTTCTTCTCTGCTTGCGAATTCTCTTCCCTTAAAAAATACAACAAACAAAAAACCCCGCTCTCACCACACGTGTGCAGTTAAGAGTTGAATCTATACATCCATAAACTTAACGCATCTGCGCCGCCTTTTCGTCTTCTTCCTCTGCAAATTACGCGTTCTTTCTGAAAGACGCGAGTAGGCAGAACAGAAGAGAGAAAAACACTTCAGGCTAGTACTACACAGTTAAACTCACGCATACAGATTCAAGCAGTTACACCTATATATATATATATATATATACAAGATTACGTCACTTCATTCACACAGGCACAGACACGCACAAGTCACTAAAGCTTCCAAAGATGAACGGCAACGACGAACGCGCTTCGGGCGACCGCAACGAGCCGCTGTCGGATGATCTGCAGTTGAACTACTCCTCTGTGGAGGTACGCGAGCGGAGTAGCCCGGTCGAGGGGACCATCACGACGCCGACGAAAGGCGTGGACGGTGATCTGGAGGAGTCGTCCACCGCGGACAGCAACGACGAGCCCCCGCGCCGCGCTAAGGGTGTGGCGGGCCTTTACGAGACGGTCACGTCCGTCATCCCGCACGGCGGCCTCGTCGCCAACATCTACAACCTGGCCAGCGCCACGCTGGGCGCCGGCATCGTCTCCGTCCCGTCGGGTTTCCGCGACTCGGGTGTGGTGGTTGCAGTTGTGCTGCTCGTCGTTGTGTGCGCGTGCACCATCTACTCGATCTACCTGCTCGGTGCGACAAAGCTGAAGACGGGGCTGCGCTCCTATGAGGAGATGGCCCGCGGCCTGCTAGGCCGTGGCTGGGACTACTTCACGGCTTTCTTGATGTTCATGTTCTGCTGGGGTACGTGCGTCGGCTACGTCATCTCCGTCGGAGACCTGCTGTCGCCCATGCTGGACACCGAGAACACGAACGCCTTCCTCAAGACCGCCAACGGCCACCGTATTCTGGTGGGTCTGATCTGGCTCGTCGGCATGTTCACCCTGTCGCTGCCGAAGGAAATTAACTCGCTGCGCTATGCCTCAGTGGTTGGCGTTTCCTTTGTCGTCTTCTTTGTCATCTGCATGATCATTCACTCCGCCCAGAACGGCTTGAAGCACGGCCTCCGCAGCGACATTATCCTCGCGAACAACAACATGCCTGCCGTGAACGGTCTCTCGCTGTTCATCTTCGCATTTCTGTGCCAGGTGAACGTGTTTGAGGTGTTCGATGAGATGCGCAAGCCAACGCTGAAGAACATCACCCGCGACGCAACGATCAGCATGATCTTGGTGGCGTTGCTGAACTTCTTCTCCGGCGTATTTGGCTACCTCGACTTTGGCGACGCAGTGGACGACTCCATTCTGCTGCTGTACCGACCCCTCGAGGATCCGCTGTTCATGATTTCGTACATCGGCTTGTGCATCAAGTTGTGCGTCGGCTTCGCCATTTGCATTCAGCCCTCCCGCGACGCCATCTACTACTGCCTGCACATGGGCAAGACATCCGATGTAAAGGACTGGGTCAACTGGATGCTCAGCGGCTTCCTGGCTCTGACCGCCCTCCTCTGCGGTCTCTTCATCCCCAGCATCAACATCGTCTTCTCGCTGCTCGGCGGCATCTGCGGTGGCTTCATCGCCTTCATTTTCCCGGCATTTTTCTTCATCTACTCCGGCGGCTTCACGCTGAAGAAGGTGGGCATCCTGCACTACATCGGCTGCATCGTTTTGATTGTTGGTGGTGTCGTGGCTTTGGTCTTCGGCACCGCCGTTGCCATCTACAGTAAGATCCCGTAAAGACGATGAGCAAGCAAGCGAGCAAGGGGAGAGGCAGATGCAAAGCACGTGGGCGGTGCAGCGGTACGAGTAGGGGAAAAGAATTCGCATCACTTTTCCGCTGCCCAACTCATTCAATGTACTTCCCTTTCGTTCTCCTTCGCGAGTGTTGCGTGCGCCTGTCCCTCCCCTCCCCTCCCCAGTCTTGTTCTCTCCTTCGTTGTCAATGCCCTTGCACCGCCAGCGACGCCACCTTTTCTGTCTGGGAATGTGTTTGGGCTCGTGCGAGTGTGCGCACAGGCGACGTTTCAAGTGAGGCCTTCGAGTAAGCAATGACGCGCTGACCCGAACGTCGGTTTCCCCGACATCGGCTTTGGCACACGAAATCACACGCACGCACCTACACGCACAGAGCTGCGGTCCTGTTATACCCACTAGTGCTTGACATCTTTTACTTGCTTTTCTGGCTTTTCCTTTCTAATTCCTTTTCTTTTCCTTTTGCCGCCGCTATCTCAGCATTTCTTCTCTGTTGTGCATCTCCCTTTATGGATTTCTTCCTCGTTCTACTTATCTTTCTTAACTCTGCTTTTCTGTTCCACATATATATATTAAATAATCCCAAAGACGCAGGCATGACTGTCACTTCTCTCTCTACATAAATGCTTGACAGTTTTTCGTCGAATGCTTCCTTTTCTTTCGTTTTCCAATGTCAAAAAAGAAAGAGAACTTACAAAACAATAAAAAATACGAAAGCAGCAACAAGAACATCAACAACAAAGAAATACCGCAGCTCTCTTTCCTGTGGGTTTTGCTTGTGAAACCAAAAAAATAAAAGACAGCTCATTCGTTCTTCGTAGCGATGCAGTTCGGGATTTTTTTCCTATATATTTTTTCCCGCACGCCCCTCTCCAGTTTAACGTCTCTTTCCTCATTTTTCAAGATACGATGTGCGCAGTTTGCGCTCAAAGCTCACCCTGCAGACGAAACAAGTAGAACCATTATTGGAATAACGCTTAATTTAATTTATTTCTTTTCTTTTTTATCTGAGTGTAGGACACAACCCTAATTCTTTTTCCAATTCTCGCTTTTTTTTGTTTCTTCCTCCTACTGCTGCGACTTATTTCTTGACTTTCATCACGCTCATTTCCGTTTTCACGAACGCTTCTGCTTTTAGAAATTCGAGTACATGAGAGAGGGAGCATCTCGTGTGTTTTCTTTCTTGTAAACAGAAAAGACTCACGGTAGTGTGATGTTGCATCGAGAACGGTGCGCGCAGTGCTGAAGAATGCATACTGTCAGCGCAAGGAATGAAGATTAGCCATGTCCAAGAAACGCCAGATACGTGTTAGAAGTGCGTTGAATCGTGCGGCTTAGCTTTTTGTCTTCACGTTATTATTATTATTATTAGTTTCGGGTTTCTTCTCTCAAACTCTTTCTTCTTTTCTTTTCTTTCTTTGCTTCCTTTCGTTTCTTCGATAGTTGAGAGAAAAGCCAATCATTCTCCTTTCTCCCTTTCCTTTTCTCTGGACGTTTGTGGGGGCGAAAAGACCTTTTGGTCATCAACAGCAGTGTGCGAGGTCCGTGTGGTGCCTGAACTGCCGGCAAGGAGTGCGGCCATATTTTTTGTTTTTCTCTCTTTTCTCTACTCTTCTTTCTGATTAATTTATGTAACTGTGTTTTGACCATTGAGTGCTTACGTTCTTTCCTCCCCAGAAAGAAATTTTCCCCTTGTTAGCTGCTTCGCGGACTTTTTTATTTCTTCTCTTTTTAGATACCACTGAAGCGTGCTGACGTACACGCAGATGACGCTTTGGGCAGCCACATTTTTTACGGACCTCAACGCGAAGGGAACCAAGGGGACAAACACGAATTCAGAGGAACCAAACAACGCTTCTCTGGTCACCTCAACAGGAAAAACAAATGTGCTGGTAGGCACTCGCTCAAATGCTACTTCTTCTTTTCACGCTGCCTTCTCTCTCTTTGCCTCTTCTACCCACGATCGCTTCTCTCCTCCTTGAGTGCAACCCACTCAGTCTGCAGGACGTCGTGGCAGATGCGGTTGCTTTGTGTTTCCCGTCCGACACTGCGTGTGCGTGTCTCTCCTCAGGCGTGTGCGTGTCATCCTCTGCGTTCTGCAAATTTCAACACTTTCTCCGCAACGGTGCAACCGAAGGAGAATTACGAGAAGTCGCACACACGCACACACCGCAAAGAAGAGGGGTGCTGTCACGGAGAAACACCTTAACGGCAAGAGGGAGAGAGCGGGCAGATGGAACCTATCTATTTGAAACATCCAACGGACAGCGAAAACCAAAAAAGAAGGAGATCCTGGTGTATACATGATTCATAGCAAAAAAGAAGAATTTACATAAAAGAATGAAGGGATGCATTTTTTTCTTTGGGCCAGGGGCTCTAACGGAAAGGGCATCACACACGTTCCTATGAAGTCTGGAGAGAAATACAAGTGCTGCCCTTTTTGCACTATTCGGCAGAGGCGCGCCGAAGTAACTTCTTATCTTACCTTTGCCTTGAGACGGTGACCTCTCACTTTCAGCAGATGATGGATCTTCAAGTCACGGAGGCCCCGGCAGCAACAATACATTACTCTGCCATACGCTGTTTTCTCTCTTTCTCTATTTGCCTTCTCTTCGATGCTCTCTCTGGCATGAACCCATCTCCACCTCCGCGACACAACAACCTGCGAGGATGAAAAAAGGAATATTTCAAAAATATAGCGCAGATGTCAGAAGCAAATCCACAAACGGGATACCCCGAGTCTCTCACGGCGGAGCAGAAAGCGCTGCTGGCGCAGTTCGAGCTGCGAGCTATCTCCGCATCGGATGACACCTCCGTCATCGTGGTCGGACACCCGTCCATGCGCTACACCGAGGGAGCTAGTTCCAGTTCGAGCTCCAGGACAAGCAGCGCGCACTCTCACCATGCAGAACGGGACTCTGCTCCTCTCAACGCGACAGCAAACGACACAGTTCAATCTTATCTTGTCAGCGTCACCCAAGATGCTTTACCGACTCCCAGTTCTGCACTCTCTACGTCGCCACCTCAAGACAAGCCAGAAACCAAGCTGTTGATGACGGAAGAAGAGCAGCTGTTCCAAGGCACAGAGAAGGGCGACATCGCTTCTGGCAGTTCTGGTGAGAAAACATGTGATGATTACGTTGTAAGTATTACGCCGCTTCTCCACCATGGCAAAGACTCGACCAACTCCTCGAGATCTAAGCTGTCTGCTGAGAATTGCGAGAAGTGGAAAGCTCTCGCGCTTAGAATGACCACGACCGACGTGGATGCGACGAGTAACAGAGGTATTGATGAACACTGCCAAGCACTGGCGGACCGCCTGGTGCGTCTGTCTTCTGCGGTGGATGCCGCTGAGTTTGCCATGGATCACAATGTGCCGCCGCCCTCCGAGTTTTTTTAGATCTTTTAAGTTGCCATTTCCGTTACTGTTTCTTTCTTTCATTCCATGCTACTCCACAGATGTGTGTGCGGTGTTCTTTTCTCTCTGCTGGCCTGTTTCATGGAGCGAACACCAACCGGGAGTAAAAATTCAAGTCAATTTATAGGTTCCTGCGTAGTAGTATCTCTTTTGTGGAAACGCAACGAAGTGTTGCCGAAGCGTTTCCTCTCTTTCTCTCTCTCTTCTTCTTTTAGCTTTGTTGATGCTGCTGTTGGCATAGCGATTGCGAATCACAATAAGTACCATTTCATCTCTTCATCTCCTTTCTTCTGTTGTGCCGCGTTCTCCTCACTCATATCTGTTTTGTTTTTGCTATATAACCCCCCTCCTGCCGATTACTTCTGAAGTCAACTGAACCGAGGCGCAACTACAGCACTGTTTCCCCCACTCCGGCTCCGCGAACCATTTCATACGGGGCGGGCCACGAGTCGATTGAGGAAAGCACGCAAAGCGGACAACCAACTGCAGGATTAAGTTATCGCCGCCATGTCTTCCCTCTTCATTTCTCTCGTCGATCGGCTTGCGACGCGCCACGAAGGCGGGAGAAGACACAATGCGGCCCCCGATGCTGAAGAGCAGGCCTTGCGCCTGTTCCTTGTTTCTTGTGACCTGATTGGCGCCTTCCAACCCGCAGACCTTTGTGCGCACCTGGCACACATGATGTCGGTTCAGTGGCCGGAGACGTTGCGCTCGGAGGGGAGTTCTCGAAGCAGCGCTCTCCGTGCTGCTTCCGCCTCACTTCCTGCGTCTTCCATTCCGACGCTCGTCGCGGCGTCCGGTGCGCTTATTGGGTTTCTTTGGGCGCACAAAGCTGCGTTGCAGGACACTATCGTCACACAAGGCCCAACAACGGCGGCCCCCGCGTCTCGCGCATGGGTGGACGAAGTACACGACCAGTGGCAATCCTATGTGCTCCAGCTACTCATGGCCCACCCACCCTTCTCCGCGGAGACTTGCACGGTGGCGTGCTGTACGGTGGGTCAGTTGAGTCTCTTGCCAGAGGGCTGTTGCGACCGCGTGCTGCGTGCTGCCTGTGAGGCGCTTCGAGCGGGTCGCGAGGACGGACTCACGGCGGTCTTGGCCACCGAGTTGCTAGGGCAGTGTGTGTCGTTGATGGTGGTGTGCAGGCCCTTCCAACTGCGCGGCGCGGTGCTGGTAGACCCGGCCCTGCAGCACAAGTGCGCTCAGGAAAACAACAAGAGGAAGCAGAAGTCAGCTGACGCTTCGAATTCGCAGGCGAACAGGCGTACGCGGTCCCCCACCCAGCGACCAGCCACAGGAGAGAAAAACACTGAGGCATCGGTAGCTGTGAAGGATGCCTGCGATGGCAACGCTGCCACGGCGGCTGCGGAAGCGAGCTCCTGCTCTGCTCTTCCGTCGTGTTACCCTTTTCCCCCAATAGAGCGCGTGACACAGCTGAAGGCGGAGCTGATCGAGTGCTGTCTCGCGACGTTAGGGGCATTCATGGCGACATCGACGGAGGCAACCACACTGCAGCACTGCACCGTGCCGACGGCACTCATCTGCCAGCGGGTGCTAATTCCACTGCTGCTGTTGGACGGCAATGAGGGCCTGCAGCGATACGAAGAACTCATTCACAGCCTGTTGTATACGCTGGCGACGGCGGCGACACCTTTTCCTGTCCAGGACGGCGCTGGTGTGGCGGTCAGCAACGTTACTTACGGCGATAACTGCGATGATGTGGTGTTGCTCATCTCCGTCCTTTTCGACTTTTTGTTTCGCCGGCCCTCGCTCGAGCCCGCGACCGACTTCCGCTACTCTCCTTTTCTGTGGGGCGTGCTGAGCAGCGCCATGCACCGCAGCTTAACGGCGGCGGAGATGGATGCCGGGCATCGTGCCAACATGCAACTGCGCGTGGAGTACCTTCTAAAGCGCATTGTGTATTTGACAAAGGAGCAGCAGTATCAGCACGCCACCACCACGGCGCCGCTGCCTGCGATGGTGGAGTTCCACCCGTTGTTTTTCTGGTGCAGCAGCCCCCTCTCCCCCAGCACCGGCGAAGCACCAAGTGCCACGGCGTGGGACAATTTCTTTCTTGTGCTCGAGTCGCTGAACGAGTACGGCTGGCACATCATCGAGCCTGTCATGGCCCGCCTTGACACGTTGGTAGCGGCGCTAAACTCACATCTAGAGTGCAGCGCGCGCGCTGCGCCGTGTACGCAGGCAGCGAAGCCTTCTACTCAAGGGGCTCTGCACACGCGGTGGATTGAGATGCTGCTTCTTAAGTTGGTTTTGCACCCAAACATTGGCGTGCGCAAAGTGGGTCTCCGCCGCGTATGGGGGCTGCCGCAACGCGTGCTGCAGTCCCTCTCTGCGGCGTTTCTTTTCCAGGACGCTTTCCAGAGTGCGTCCGACCCGCGGCTCTGCGCGGATCTCGACCGGATCCCTATCTCGGCTTCCTTTCTCGATACGAAGGCATTCGAAGGCACGGAAGTGAAGGCGGTGCCGGACATCGAGCCGCTGGCGCAAGAGGTAGAACGGTTCTACAGTGCTCTGTTCCTCACTCGCTGGCATAAGGATGGCGCTGGTGCTGATGCTGATGCTGTCAGCACGAGTGGCCGCATCGATGCGCTGCATCGCTTGCTCGACACCACCCTCAACAAACCCCCACGATTCACCGTATGTGTGCTGGCCCGCACTCTTCTTGCGATGGGGCAGGTGTTGTTCGATCACCACATCGACGCAGAGCCCATCCTACTCGACGAGGGCGTCCTCCAGCGTCTGCATCGCTTCATGCGTGACTCGGTGCAGGAGAACGTTCCGTTTTGGCTGGACGTGCGCGTTACCGCGATCTTGTTTGCGGCGCTCACCACCTTTGTCGCCGCCACCGCCTCCCCGCGCCGCTGCCGTCAGCACCCGTCCTTCTGGCGTCTCTACTGCATGTGCGGCCCGCTGGGCGAGTCGGGCGGGCACAGCATCACCGGGATGGACGCGAGTGGGCAGTACGGCCTCGTCGGTGCCTCGGTTGACGAACGCTTCTTGCAACAGTGGCTCGTGCAGCTAAGCGCGCAAATGCTGGATAAACGCCGCCGCCCCGTGCCCGAAGGAGAGCACGATTCCTCTTGTTTTTCTTTCGTTGACGAGTTGCTGGACGCGGATGGGCTGGAGGGTCGAGTCAAGCGACTTTTGCAGACGGCCTCGTCGACTCCGTCTGTCGCTGCTGTAAACGTGGTGGAGGTGAAGGAGGCGTTCTTCTTGATAGGCGCGCTCACTCGCACTGGCTCCGTTCGGGATACGCAGCTCATTCGCTGCACCGCGCATACGATCGCCTCGACGGTGGCGTCGCTGCAAACACGGGCCTACTGCACACCTGCGCAACTGCTGAGCAGCGCTGCATGCCTTGTCGAGCTGCAGCACACTCTCGGCAGTGAGGTGTGCGGGCAGCTGTGGCCGTTGCGTACCACCCTGCAGTCTATGTCAGCGGCGTTGCACACGCACGTCATGGCAAGCCTCAGCGCAGCCGTGCACGCCGTCTCCGTGGGCCCTAGTAACGCAGCGGCCGGTGGCACCTCCCTCTTCGTAGACGGCGCTGACGAGTTGGTGTGGACGGTGATGCATACGGCCCACTTCGACATTCTTGCCGCCGCCACTGCCTCCGTCAACTCGATTGCTTGCAGCAGCGGTGACGCGGCCTCATCGACGCAAGACGCGTCTTCCGTTGCTGCCGCAGCGAGATACCTCGATGTGTCGCTCCACGTTGAACAGCTCATGAGTCTCTTGAAGGAAGCGGTGGAGACTTACAAAGCTCTTATATCTGCGAGAAAGCACGATAACGAAGCGGCGGATGAGGAGCGGGTGGCGGCAGTGTTGGTGATCACCCGTAACATCTATCGCCTCCTCCAGAGTGAGCTCTGTGGGTTTCTTGCCGTGAGCAACAACGCTGTGGACACGGCGCGCCAGCACGACGGTCACCCTCCTTTACACCCGTCATCACTGCCGGCGGATCGCGAGTCGCCGACGGCATCGCACGGTGGTGTGGCTCGCTGCCCGCTGGCCGGCGTGCTGTCGTCTCAGGCGGTGCAATCCTACCTGCAGCAGCTCATGTTCCTCCTCACCTATCGCGTGCCGACTGGGCCGATGCCGAGCGCGTTGTCGCCTCTGTCGTGGTCGACCCTCTTAGGGCAACACGGCCGCTACCGTAACAACCTTCTCTATGTTCTCGCGCTCTGCCTCGGCCCTGTTTCCGCCCAGGACACGCGCTCGAGCGAGGGCTGTACGACCTCGCAGGCGGACTTTGAAAGCATCGTGGCTGCCCTTCAGAGCTTTGCACTGGGTCAGCTGGAAGAGTGCTGGACCATGAACTTGGCGAGTGTGTATGACCTGCTTGTCTGGGTGGCATCGTCGAACGTGCCGCGTGTGGTGGACTACATCGCCATCGCCGATGGGATGTGGGGTCACATGAAGGAGGTCGGCGCACGACAGTACACGCGCCTCGCCGCCCTCGCTTTCACGGTGCTGCACTTTGTCATGCCCCACCACCCCGAGTACGTGCGTGCGTTGCTGCTGCGTGTGCTGGAAGGGGAAGGCAAGGAGGCGCAGACGGCAGATCGCGACGTGTACTTCGCCGCTATGACGGCCTCGCTGCAGGTGCTGCACAACCCCGCGCAGAACTGGCCGGTGCTGAGCGACGCACTGCTCTACGCCGCCGTGCTCTTCAACACCAACCGCGATGAGGAGGAAAACGAGTCCACCGTGGCCGTGACGGAGCCGCTGCTGAGAAGCTGGCCTGACGCGTTGCGGCTGTACTACCCGCCCACCACCCGCCTCTCCGCCGTCGGGCGCGCTATGGCTGTGGCGACGCTGCTGTGGTGCTGCCACGTCGACGTGGCCGGCCGCGCGGTGCCGCTGACGGTAGAGCTGCTTCGCATGAACGTGTGCCACCCGGTTGTGACGCACGAGCCGTGCATGCCGAACTCCCGCACTCACCGCACCCGCATTCGCTTATGGCAGCTCCTGTGTGCGTTGCTGCCCTGTCTGGCGCAGCCGCAGCAACCGGTGCCACTGCCGCAGATCGAGGAGGTCTTCCGGCTGCTCGTTTCGCACTGCGTCACGGTGAATAACATGGGAAGCGTGCGTCGACTCATGGAGCTGTACGCGATCCGCCTAGTGGAGCAGCATCCAGGCTTGTACACCGTTGTGAGTGAGGTCTTGGGCAACTACAGCCTGCGCCCGCAGGTGTGTGGCAGCTACATTCTGATCGCCTGTCACGCCTTGCTTCGGCAGGAGGACCGAGCGCCACGGAAGGACGCGACTGCTGCTGCCGCTGCTGTGGACGAGGTGGCTGCTGGCACCTTTGACAGTTTGTTCCCCCGTATTCTCCAGCAGAGTACATCAAACCAGCACTTGCTGCGCATCATCAGCCACATTGGCCTCGTGAACATTTGCCAGCGCCGCATCGCCCACGGCCGGCCACTCTCCGCCGCCGTAGAGGCGGTGTACAACTACGTCCTGCACGCCCCCGAACACATCAAGTTCCGTGAGAAGCACGAACACATGCTTTTTTTCGATACCGACGTGGCAAGCAGCCCACGCAGTCTGTTCTGCGTTCAGCGGAAGGAGGCGAACACGGTGCTGGCCGAGGTGCTGCCCGCCGCCGCCTTCGAGCGCATTCGCTTCGTCGAAACGGAGCTGTGCTGCGTGATCGGCGCACTTTACCCCATGGAGCTGCTGCGTGTGCGCGACCTGTGCGCCACCCTCCGCGTGGGTGACTTGGTGTCCGTCTTCAAGGACTTCGCGGCCATCCCGCACACCACCACGCCGTGCGACTACTACGTCGACTACACGCAGGAGGCGACGGAACTGCTGACGCGTGACCCGATGGCGGAGGCGGGGCCGGGTGGTGCCGCTGCTGCTGCTGTTGCCGGTAGCGCAGGCGAGGAGGTCGACGCTGCGACGGCAAATGTGCAGAAGAAGGTATCGTCGTGGTGGACGAGCGAGGTCTACAACGAGCTGCACCCGCGGGCGCTGCGCAAGCAGAAGCAGTCCATCATCGTCGTCGGGTCGCTCGTGGAAAACCCGGTCAACATCGCTGGGCTGTGCCGCTGCGGCGAGATTTTCGCGGTAGAGTCCATTGTGGTGCCGGAGAAGAAGGTCTTTGAGCACCCCCACTTCGTCGCCGCCGCGCGCAGTGCGGAGCTGTGGATTCCGTGGGAGGAGGTGATGCCGAAAGACTTGCCGGGCTACCTTGAGGGGCTGCGACGCCGCGGCTACGTCATTGTGGGCATTGAGCAGACAGCAAACAGCGTCTCGATGGAGGCATTTTCGTTTCCTGCGCGCTGCGCTGTGGTGCTGGGGGCGGAGGGGCAAGGCGTACCGGCGCCGCTGATCCCCCTGCTGGACGTGTGCGTAGAAATTCCACAGTACGGTCTTATTCGCTCCTTGAACGTGCACGTGACGGGCGCGATTGCGATGTACGAGTACACACGGCAGCACCTCATGGGCAAGACGCGTGAATGAGGGAGAAAAGTGATCATATTATTAGGGCTAGTCGAAAGGGGGGCTCGGGTAAACAAGTGGGGGAGGGGCGAGCCGCATCACCGGACCGCCCCCATGAGACCAACTGTGAGACTCTGCGTACGGAGTGTGCTGCGATTGCTCTTGTGCTTTTAATGGGTTGTTAAAGAAAACTCGATTAAGTTGTCTTAGGCATACATTACGTGAGAGTGTTGTGTGCAGACTGAAAACACATGACGAGCTCACATGATAAAAAGACCCGTTTGAGTGCCATTTAACGAAGCGATAAAAGAGAAAACACACGAAATGGAGTGGGAACAGAGACAGCTGCCGACAAACGAATCCGTATCGTAAAGGCGTATTTCTCACAATAACCGATCCTGCTAATCTGACACGATAGTAAAACAAAAACCACGAATACAGCGCCTTTCTCCCCGTGGGCCTATTACGTCGTACCGCTTTTCTCTCGTTTCACTTGTGCAATCCCCCCCTCCCCCCTTAACGCCTTCCACACTTCACATTAACACACTTCAAGTGCTGTGCACAGTTGAATTAAGAAGAAAAAAATGTCCCTCCTTTATTATTATTCGATGTTTCTCAATTGTCACTTCACTTTTTTGTTGATCTTCTTTCGTTCTTTTCACTATTTGTTTTTTCTCTATTGTTGTTGATTTAAGTCCACAAATACGATCTTTAAGAAAAGCAGCGCTTTCCGGCTTATGTGACGGCATCTGCAGATGCTTGACTGCCATTCCAGGTAGAAAGTATATTCCCCCCAAAAAAAAACGGAACACCATACACGCACACACATCATACACCAATATATCTCCAGACACCGTCGCGATGTCGACATCTGCCTCTTCTTATTCGAGTCAATGGATCTGTCGCAAGGATCCCCGCACGCAGCGCACCTACTACGTCAATCGTCGCACCGGTCGATCCACCTGGGACCCGGTGCCGCGGACAGCGATGGATACCGAGGCGGCGGCCGCCGTGCTCTACCCTGCTGTGGTTCCCGTCGCTGATCCTACCAGCGCATCGGTGAGTCTCACCTTGTCCAACGAGGCGAGGAGTTCACCGACGACTCCACAGGTTTGTACGGTGAACTCGAAAGCTTCTCTGACGCGCAACTCTGACAGCGACACGGACAGAGACGCGAGTGAAGGCAACAGGGTGAAAAAGGCGGTTGTGCCTCCAACAGGCCCATCGACCAGAGGCAGCGAGGCAGATGGTAATCATACTGCTGAACGCACGAACGTAGCGCATGCGTCCCCCGTCACCAGCTCCTCAGCTAGCGACTCTACCCCAGCGCCGCAGCCACCGCGTCAACCCGCACAACCGCCATCGGCGCACGAGCCAGCAAAACTCACCGCCGCCCCCGTCTTCTTCACCGCTCCCTCCACGTCGTCCTTACACATTCCTTACTCACCGTCCGCTTCCTCCGCGGTGTTTGCGGACATGAAGGGCGCGACAACGTTGGGGACGACTCCGGTGCAGCTCTGCCACGGTTTCCAAAAGGACGCGAAGCACGGCGCAGACTTCTTGACGGCCTGCGTCGCCTCTGCGTCTGTGCAACCACCGCCCGCCACGGTGATGCGGTCGCCGCCGAATCAGACGGCGTCGTCCTCCTCCCCGTTCTCTCCCACCCTGGAAATACGTCGCACCGCGCCGACTACGGACCCCTCAACGCCTTTTTTGCTGAACGAGACGCAGCGGCCCAGCGGTGACAACTCCTCTCTCTCTCCGGTAGCCGGCGGCAGTGGACCATCGCAGCTCCTCCCGCCGCCGCCGCCGCCGCCGCTGCCGTCCCTCGTCTCTCATCCTGTGATGTCCGCTGCACGAGGCGCTGGAAACGAACGCGTCGACGGGATCGGCACCACCGACTTCACTGCCCCAGCGATTGAACCGAGCAATAAGGCATGTGCGTCTTCCTCGTCCTCTCCACCACCCCCACCACCACTTCAGCAACAACGGCAGGAGGAGGATGTCAGCGGCGATGAAGAGGCGGCAGCGGCAGAGGAGTGGCGCCTCACGCGACGCGTGTGGGAGCTGGAGGGCGAGCGAGCCCGACTGGAGAGTGAGTTGGCGGTGCTGCGTGGTCCAGTGGAGGTGGAGGCGCAGAGCATCGCAGAGGATCACGCACGCCTGCTTGAAGCACAACGGGCGCTGGAGACGGCGGCGACGTTGGCGGTCAACCAGCAGAAAACGAAGCGGGAGGAGCTGGACGGGTTGCAGCAGCGCCTGACTGAGTTACAGGAGCAGCGTGAAAACGCAAAGTTTCTCATTTCCACGATGCAGGAGCGCCTGTCGTTGGTGAAGGAGCGCTGCCACAGAGTACAGGACGAAGGGGAGCGGCTGAATCGAGAGAGAAGAGAGTTGGAGGAGGTTCTCCTGCCGACCGAGGAGGCGGCGTCGCGTGATGTACAGAATCGCCTCTACGAACAACGACAACGGGTAGCGGCACAGCGGCAGCAGCTCGATGACCTTGAACGTGCTATCACTCGAGGACGCAGTGATGTACAGCGACGGAAGCATCGTTTGGATGAGCTGACTGCGATCGCCGTTGACGAGGGCCATATCTCAAAGAATGGGGAACACAGCTTAGCTTCGCTGGCTGCCCGCAAGAAGAGCCAAACTTGGAAAGAAGAAAGTCTCTCACGGAAAGGCACGAATGATGCACTTGTGGTGACGGTGGCAGAGACCGCTGCAAGTCCCTCCGAACACGGAGAGCAGCTGCACGCACGTATCGCAGAACTGCAGCGCGAGGTCTCCTCTCTCCAGTTTGCTAGTGGAGCCCTTTACGAGAATACACTGCTCACAGCGCAGCAGCAAGTGCTGCGGGAGTGGACGCAGCGCTTGCGGGGCGAAGCGGAGCCATGGCAGCGACCCCTGGAAGAGGCCCGTGCAATGCTGCAAAAGCTGAATCGGTTTTACGAAGCGCAGGCATGCAAGTACGGCACACGCACGCAGGACTCCTGAGTTTTTCTTTCTCCTACTTTTTCACCTACACTTTAGATCGCCTTCACGCGCCCACTTACGAAGGCTTTCCTCTATCGGCGCCAATGGACACTCAAGAATGAAGCGGCAAACGCAAAGGATTGTTAGTGTAAGACTGCCGGAGATGCGTTGGAACTAAAACTGAAGCTGTATAGTTGGCAAGACCAATATATATATATATATCTGTTGCTTACCACCCGTTTTCTAGGGCACTGGGTGTGCGTAGCTACTGCGTTTCTTCACCTCACAATCTTCTCTTCTGGTTTTATCTCTCTTTGTATTATTATTTGAATGTCGCTCGTCACGTTACACAGCTGCACCATAACGCATTCTTCCGCTATCTTTTCTGTCTTCTTTCATCGACGCACATACACGAAGGTTTCCTGATAAAATAAAACTTTTAATCCGATCCAAACGTCCGCAACAACAAGATACGGCACCATGTCGGAGCAGCCTCAGCAGGACGCCATCCAGCCCGCGCAGCCGCAGCAGCCGCAGCTCTCAGTGGAGACGATGATGAACCGCCTTGGCCGCTGTGCTGCGGAGCAGTCCGGCTTCATCAACTGTCCGATCTACCGCGGCTCCACCAACCTCTTCGACAACTTCGCCGCTTCCACGATGAAGGGGGCGGAGTTCCGGTACGGCACCTTCGGCAACCCGACTCGCGCTAACCTGGAGAAGGCGTGGACCGCCTTGACGGGCGGGGCCGGCACGCTCGCTCTCTCCTCCGGTGCGCAGGCCGTGGCGTACGCGCTGATGGCGGTGCTGAACGCTGGCGACAATGTGTTGATGACGGACACGGCCTACCTTCCCACGCGTAAGTTCTGCGATGGCTTTCTCAGCAAAAAAGGCATCTCCACCGTTTACTACGACCCCTGCATCACCCCAGAAGACCTCCGCGAGCTGCTGCGCAAGTACCCGAACACGACCGCCCTCTTCATGGAGTCGCCTGGGTCGCAGACGTTCGAGGTCCAGGACGTGCCCGGGCTGTGCGCGGTGGCACACGAGTTCAACGTGGCGACGCTGATCGACAACACCTGGGCCACCCCGCTGTTCTTCGATGCACATGCGAAGGGCTGCGACATCTCGATCGAGGCTGGCACCAAGTACCTCAGCGGGCACTCCGACCTCATCATGGGCCTCATCTCGGCCAACGCGACGTGGTTCCCGACGATAAAGGAGACGCTGATGCTGTTCCAATCCACTCCCGGTGATGAGTCGTGCTTCCTCGCGCTGCGTGGTCTGCGCACCATGTATCTGCGCGTGCGGGAGGCAGAGCGCCGTGGACTGGAGATGGCGCGCTTCATGGAGAGTCGCCCCGAGGTGCTGAAGGTGCTTCACCCGGCCATGTCCGACTGCCCGGGTCACGAGATCTGGAAGCGCGACTTCACCGGGTCCACGGCGGTCTTCTCCGTCATCCTACTGCCCAAGTACACGTTGAAGGATGTCGAGCACATGCTGGACAGCTACAAGATTTTCCAGATGGGCTTTTCCTGGGGTGGGTTTGAGAGCCTGGTGATGTATTACGACTGCACCTCCTACCGCACTGCGACGGCGTTCGCACCGGGCGGCCTGCTCGTGCGGTACCAGATCGGCTTGGAGAACATGGAAGACTTGAAGGACGACCTGTCTCAGGGCTTCGATCACCTGCGCAGCGAGTAGAACAGAAAAGAAAAATGAATGTGAGGGGGAGAGAGGTGAGCGAGCAAGGCAGCTGCTGCGCTTTTTGTATGTAACTTATCCACGCAGAATGCACATGCGTACGTACAGACACACACACACACACACACACGTTTCATTTCGCGGCGTTGCGCGGTAGCTCCTACGGAATTCTTTTGCTCTTTCCCCAGCGCGCGTACCTGCCACGCCTCTCTTTCTCTCTTCTTAAAACTAATTTCCTTTCTTTCTTTCTTTCTTTCTTTCTTTCTTTCATTCATTATTAATTTTTCTTGTTTTTGTTTGATTGTCTGTTCGCTTTTTCTTTTTCCTTTTAAAAGAAAAAGGATGACCAGCTCATCGTGTAACCTCACAGGTTGAGCAGCGTAAAGGGCGACCGTAAAAAAAAAAAAGGAATGAAAGTCTAGTTTGAGTAGCCTTTCGTTCTACCAAAACAGAGGTTTTCGGCCACACTGTGGCACTCATTGGACACCTTTGAGGATGAACAAGCGCGATGCCGAGAATATCTATTAATATGTATAATTAAAAAAAACCTTCTCAAAATAATTTTTGACAGCCAGTGTTCACTTAGGTTTTTTTTTATCTTTTTCATTTTCCGGTTCTTGTTGTGACTCACTAGCGTCGATCGTTGTCTCGCTACAATTCCCCCCACCAAGTCAGTTCGGCATAACGACCCTGTAATTAAATCCGTTGTTGCGTAACATACTTTTTTTTCTAATGGTGGAGCATGCGTTACGCCTCTTCTTCTAAAGACCTCCACTTCGAAAAAGTCGACTTTTTGACTTCTGCACGCATATAATTTGCTTGATAACGCGCTGCTGTTGTTTACTCCCTGCGCTATCTTCAGGGGGCATCGCTCCCTTTCTTTGTTCCTGTTTGGCTCTTTTGTCATTTTCTTTTTCTTTACTTGACACACATCGCTGTGAATTTCGTGTATTTAAACTGATTTCTGTAGTGGTTGCCTCTACATCTACGCCTGGTAAGTAGAAACACTAAGGGTAATACACAGGTGGTGAGCAAGGTGCGCGTTTAACGAAGTCTCCTCTTCTATTCTTGCAATCATCTTGTGCTCAATCACAGAAGAAGAGAAAAATAGTCAGCAACGTGATAGCTTGGCGTTTTGCCCCTTCCAATTTCGTTAAAAGAAACCCCCCAAATGGACTGCTTTGTGCTGTAGCTTTTCCTTTTCTATTAGGACGATGAAGACGAACGAATTGAAAAATAATTCTAGTGATCACGGACACGGATATATCAAAAACAAAATAGTAACAATTGAAACGTAGTAACCCAACAGTAGCGCGTCTTTGTATGTTTAAGCGCACCGATGCAAAGTACTATGTAGTGCCTTCAGGCGCGACTGGTTTAGTGAGTCTCGCAATTGAAGTTCGGCATTTTAAGATGTGCTTCCTCACTGGCGGAACGCGGTGTACTTCTCCACTGCACTGCAAACGCGCAGAACCTGTGCTTTTCGCCTTCTTCCGTTGCGCAATGTCTTCTGCACTTCATACCTTTCACTTCCTTCTCTACCTTTGGCCTTTCTCCCTTTATTCTATAATTGTACATCATCATATCATTACCAACGGGTGGAAAGCTTTGGGCAACGAACGTGATTGAGGTAGAAGAGCCGAAGAAAGCAAGCAAGTCGATCGTGCCAAATTCTTACGTCTAGTTTCCCTTTCACCCTTCATAGTACTTGTCAGGCATCACTAACGAAAATAGAAGTCGAAGCTCGCCGATCAACGCAATAGGAGCAGTGTAGCGCTGCTTAGATTAGTGTCTTCTTCTATTTGCTTTGTGATCGTCTTTCTGATGGGAGCGCTGCGTGTTCCATTGAAGCGCGTCATTTGAACAACTGCTTGTGGATCACAGCTGCTCAACGGAAATATATCCCCAGACTGTTATTAGTTAGCTCCTTAGTAGTCACAATTTGCAACAACAACAACAAAAAAGAAGAGAGAAAACAGAGAGAACAAACGTTCTTTTTTTTTCTCCTTCTCCCATTTATAGCTTAGTTTATCGAAACACTCATCAGCCTTTTTATTACACATCCAGATCAACTCGTGAGAAGGGCAAGCACATTGAGGCAAACAAACTCACACCTACGCGCACAGCAACAGCACCAAAAAAGAATCCTAAACTTCCGCAGGTTAACTCGAACCTCTCGATTCAAACGTCACTTCGTTGGCTTCACCAGCAACGACACTTTAGTGGGGAAAAAGAACAAGTGAAGCAACAAGAAGAATGCTTCGTCGCGCGTCTGCTTCGTCGGTATGCGCCGCCGGCCTCCTTGGCACCGTCGTTGGCACCGACCCTGCGACGCCGCCTCGCTGCTTTGCGGTGGCCCACGCGTCGGCAGGCCGCACCGGACTTGCGATGCACACCCCAAAGGCAGATGTGCAGATGGGCCGCTTCAGCTTCATGGATCAGTACAACGAGTTCCGCAACCGCTCTGGTCGTGCGCCGGACTACTACGTAGAGAAATACCGCTCCACCTACTGGCGCGTAGATGAGTACATCCGCCGTTCCGAGAACTACATCCAATGTCAGGGCTTCTTCTACCTGCCGACGCTGGAGTTCCCCTGGTACAAAGGCTGCATGCCGCTTCTCTCGTCCTATCAGATCCGCGTGCACTACGGCCGCCACCACCGCGCCTACGTGGAAAAGCTGAACCAGCTGATTGAGGGGACGGAGCTGTACGGGATGCAGCTCGATAGCATCATCGTGAAGAGCGCCAACGACGATCGACTGACGGGCGTGTACAACAACGCCGCCCAGCACTTCAACCACTCCTTTTACTGGAAGAGCATTCAGCCCTACGGCAGCAACATCCCTCCAGACCTGTCCGCGGCGGTTTCGGCGCAGTACGGCTCCGTGGAGAACTTGGAAAAGCAGTTCATCACGGCGGCGCAGAACCTCTTCGGCAGTGGCTGGGTCTACTGGATTTACGATCGCAGGGCGGGCAAGTTCGATATTATGTCGTACAGTAACGCCGGCTGCCCGCTGACGAACTACGATCACGTCCCACTGCTCTGCGTGGATGTGTGGGAGCACGCGTACTACATCGACTACGAAAACAAGCGACCGGAGTACCTGTCGAAGTACTTTGACGTGGTAGACTGGCACTGGGCGGAGCGCCACTGGAAGCGTGCCACGGACCAGGAATACTACGAGATGAAGTTCTGGTAAAGCGATGCGGAAGAACAAGAGAGAGAAGGAGAGAAGGAGCGGCGCGGCTTATTGATTCGTTCTTCTCTTCCGGCTGCTCTTTTTAGCTGTGTAAGACGTCAGTAAGCTCCCCTCCTTTTCTTCCCCTTTCCGTTTTGGTGAGTGCAGCGGTGATGATTTTTGGCTCGTCTTTTTCTTTTTCTTTTTCTACTACGCGGTGATGGCGGTGTTTTCGTTCATTGGAGTTCTTTGTGAGGGCTTCCATGCGTGCGAGTCAGGCATAGGTGTGCGTTCCTGTCTTCTACCTTGCTCGCCACAAGACCGCTTTTGAAAACGCCAACATTCTTAGTTTAGAAGCTACCAAGACACGTGTTTTCTCTTCGTTTTTTTTTCTAAAATATTTGGTCCTTGCTTTGCTGGTTCTGCCCTCTCTTGCATCTTTCGGTCTTTCCGCAGTGTATCATTCAACTTGAGAACGCAACAAAACAGCGTGCTGTCTGCTAAGCATTTTTCGTGTCTCAGAGACACGCTTTCCTCCATTGAAAAATGCCTCCGTTCTTTTATCTGCCAATACGCACGACTAGGCGGAGATGCGTGTTTCCGTGGGCACGCAAACGTGCATGTAGGACTGCGCAGCTCATTTGGCGGGAGCACAACCACAGCAGGTAGCATCGGCGCAAGTGTAGCTGTCCCGTCATTTTAAAAGCTGTGACTCTGAGTTTCGCTCGCAGTGCTACAGTACTCTTAGCTTCCTACAATGATCTTTTCCTTTCATTCCTCGTTCTCATATTCCTCCTCCCCCTCCTCCCTCCTCCACAACTCCTCCCGTTTTCTTTTCTTTCTTTCTCTTTTTGTTTTTCCCCCGAAAACGGTACGCCGTTTTACAACGGATGTACGCTTTGTGCTGCACGCTGAACTCCGCCCAGTAGCACGAGGCTGTGCTCACGAGCAGACAAGCAAACAACGGTAGTGAAATATAACGGCAGCGGCAACGTTTGTGCTCGCATCTTACCTAGGAATCTCTGCAAGCCAGGCTCCCCCCTTAGCATCTGCCTAAAAAAGTGTTTTAGAAGTCACAAAAGGAAAAGACACATCGATCTCGTAAATCTGGTGTACCGTCTTCTTCAACGGCGCATTTGTGTTGTGCGTGGCATTCGTATTTACTGCTTTTTTTTTTTGGGTTTCTGCGGTGCCCGCTAACGTCTTTATATATATAGTTTCCGTATCGCACGACACCACCACACGCTCAGCGTCTTAACGTTAGGATCGATTCGACTAGCCCTCTTGTATTTGGTAGCAGTAGTACTCGTTGTATAGTGTTTTGATCGTTGGGCAGCGCTTAGAAAGGTCTGGAGCTGCGCCGCAACTCACTCATTTCTTTTTTCTTCTTTTTCCCTCGTTTACCATCATTGGTACCTTTAAAAACAAAAGAGAAAGGCCTCTCTTTGATGCTGTGTCGTCGCGGCAGCGACACATACATTTCTTGACTGTTTTGCTCAACCAAATCCAAACCGAGTCGCGATGATGCGCCGCAGTTGCGTGCTCCTTAGCGGGGGCATGGTCGAGTACCATGAGTGGCACCTGCACGAACCGCTGCTGCAGAACTACGAGGGCTGGCGTATTCTTGACAACCCAAAGTACGAGAACAAATCGGACGCGTACATCTACGATCTCACGGGTAGCGTGCGCCACCTCGACCCCATCATCGACGACCCACGGCTGACGCACAAGCAGCGAGTGTGCCGCCTGTACCGCTGGGCGCTGAAGGAATTACAGATGTGGATGATCCAGCTCAACGCCCACAAGTTCAACCTCGCCTACAAAGTTGTCCGCCGGCGCTTCGAGAAATACCGCTACGTCACGGATCCCGCCACGTGTGATATGATGGTGCGCCAGACCCAAAAGTACCTGCGCGACAACGCGAACTTCCATTATATGCGGCGCAACAACAGCTCGCCGTGGAGCACGTACACCCTCGCCAATCCGATGTTCCACCCGGACAACTCGCTCGTCTACGATCACTGGACGCACCCCGAGGTGATGTGGTACGACGATGCGAAGCTGCATCGCTGGACGGCGCACCACCCAATGTACGCCGGACCGGGTGAGGCGTCAGAGCGCTTTGGAGACATGGACGTAGCGCCTCACCTGCGCGGCATCACATGGGCCATATTTTTAACCGTTTTTGCATGGTGCTTCTACCAGCTGCTGGGCCTGCCGTCGCTGCGCGAAGAGAAGCACTTCGAGGAGTGGTCGAAGCAGTTCGATCAGAATTTGAAGGGCGCCATCTACGCCGAGGAGCGCAACTCGCGCACGCGCAACAGCGTGCTCGGCAAGGACTGGGATAGAGTTATGGGCACCGTGCCCGGCGTGCCAGGCTACTACCTGAACGACATTGGCTCTGTAGACCCCAACAACTACGCCAAGTAAGGCAAGAGAATTAAATGTGCATGCAACGGAAGACTCCGACTGAGAACAGTATCGTGTGCGTGTGCGCGTCAATGGGTCTCGAGCAATAGTGTCTTGCTGTTTTCTCATTCTGCTATCTGTTGTTCTCACTTCACAGCTTGGTGTGTGCCTCTTGGCGCCTATATATATATCACCCTCTTTCCGCCGTTTCCAGCCGTTGCTTGATTTTTCTTTTTCATCTATCACTTCCTATTGTGTAGCCTCTAGACTATCGACAACAAACGACTTTATCTGACTAGAGAACAACAAGTACCGTCGCCTTCTTATTGAACACAGTCGGACCGCTCCAGCGAAGATCCGCTCTTTTTTGCACGCGTCTGGGACCGTTGCGGTTCTTTATCCTTCTTCAGCGTCGCGTGAAGTCTGTGTACTCCTCCTGAGCATGTTGATGGAATGGCGGTGCTGTTGCACTAAAGTTCGATCCAAGGTGAATACCAAGTTCTCAGAGATGCTGCAGGGTGACGTTTCACGCACTTTTATTAAAGGCGCGCGAATCAAACATATATATGCACATACGCGCACCAGCTAGATTTACCCGCTTCGGTTGGGATGAAGACGCACCACTTCTCCTTCTTGTTCTCTTCCCAACATTTCTTCCTATTTCTGTCTTTTCATTTGTCCCCGTTGCGCCTGAACACTTCGCATCACTGCTCTTCGGTTTTTCTCTTCTTTATTCACAACTGCATGTTTAAAAACAGATGTCCGCTGACGAAAAGCCACGGGGAGCAAGAAAACCACAGTTTTGCTGAGCAGCAGCTTTTCTTTTTCCTTGGCCCAGCCCAGCTCCGAGTTTGAGTGGGTTTCGCACATCAAGGGACGACCGCATTCATTTTGTTTGCAGAAGAGAAAAGAAGTCCAGCCAAGAAGAAGCCAATCACAGGAAAGAATTCACGAGGCGGTCTCTGCATTCCCCTGTTGCTTTCCGCTTTTACTGGGTTTTTTTTTCCCCTGTTGCTTTCCATCTGGACCCGTCCGCAGTAACCTCAATTTTTCAGTACCTTTTGGTTTCTTGCAGCTGTTCATCTTTCTTCCTTGCTTCTTAGCAACGCTACAATTCAGGTGATTCGCAGCACCCGCGGCACTCCAACAAGTCCACGCACAATTCTTTCACTCATACTAATTATATATATAATTGCTATTGTTAGAAACTCCTTTTTTTAAATTGCTCTTCCGTTTATCACTGCAATCTTGTACCCCCTCTAAAGAAGAAAAGAAAAGAATAATACGCTACTTACTTCTACTAGATACGTTTCGCTAACCTTATTGATTTGTTTGCTTAGACCTTCATTGAAAAAAAAAAAAGCGCCCTCACACGCACACACACGCACACACACACACACAAAGCGCTACAAATTCTAACATGACCAGCAACTACAGCATCAGCTCGAGCGAGGGCGGCTCGCTGTGCCCCAATGCTGCGTCTCACCAGACCCAATCGCGCAACGCGCCTTGTGAGGAAGCCGCGGCCGGGAGTGGGCGTCATGCTGTGACTGCGGATGCTGCCTCGGCGACGCGCCACGATGTTACACCCAAAAAAGCGGCGCAGTCCTCCAAGTCCGCCACCGCCGCCACCGCGCAGGAGTCGCCGTCGATGACAATTCGTCGACTGCCGGTGGACTACTCGAAGCGGATGGACGACCAAAAGGTGCGCAGCAACGCGCTTGAGCGGTACAAGATGCTCGTGAAGGCGAACCGTCTTGTCCCTGGTGACAACGAGGCGTCCCCGGAGCCGAAGAAGACACCCAAGACGGACGAAAGCGATATGTCTACGACGTGGCGCAGGAGTGACCAGATGCCCTCGACTACGCAGCGCGACGGCTCCGCGATCAGTCAAACCGTTCTCAGCAACGCGTCGGATGGGGAGGCGCTGGGGAAGTCGCAGGCTCGCCGGAGCGCAGACCCTCTGCCGCCGTCCAAGCAGCAGCAACAGCATGACCGCTCGCTGTCGTCGCTTGTCTCTGTCTCTGTCTCCGTGGAGCGTCCCGCCTACCCGAGCTCCGTGACGCAGCGGCAAGACGAGGAACCTGCTGCTGTGGCGGCCGTCCCAGCTGTGCCGAGCATCGACCTGACCAAAACGCTGGCGCACCAACCAGGGCAGCAGCAGCAACCTCTCTCCCCGGCAGCCATGCAGCCTCCCGCGAACCGGCCGGCAGCTCCGCCAGGGGGCGAGGAGGACGCGCCGGTCGATTACGTCTCCCCCGAGCTCACCCAACCCTTTGGCAGCTCCAAGTGGAAGCCACGCAACTCGATCCGGCCGGGCTACACACCCGTGACGGAGCACCGCAGCAGCTCTCTTACGCGCACTTCTTCCGTCACTGGCGAGGGCAGACGCACGCCGCGGACGCAGCAGCCCGATTCGCAGGTGGGCCGTCCGAGTACCTTGTCCAACGGCACGTCCACACCACGGCGCAAGAGCACAGTCAAGACTCCACGTGCTGCGGCGCCAGCGGCAGACGTTTCGGAGAATACGGAGAATGTGAAGACGAAACATGTGGACGTGGCTGTCACCCCGACCGATACGGAAGAGCATCGCGGAGACGAGCACCCGGCAGAAGGTGTGGTGCCCATGCACCAGCAATCCGAGGACGGTGTGGTCCCCCTCCCAGGCAGCAAGACGGCCTTCTGGTTGCGTCCCGCCACCGCCATGTACGAGATGACAACGAGCATTGCGGCGAAACGCAAGGACCACGTCGAGCAAGACAGCCCGACGACGCACACCAGCAGCCGGCGCGGCAGTCACTCCTTCCACGCCATTCCTTCCGGCAACAGCAGCAGTTTATACGGGACACCGCGCGATCGTGGTGGTCCCAACGCAGCTCCCGCACCGCCAGAGGAGAAGCTCCGCTTTTCGACTCACATGTCGGCCGCAGACCGCAAGTTGTACGAGGAGGGCGGGGCAGCGGTCAAACCACCCCCACTGTCCACCTACGACGCCATCTTCAGCAACCGTCGGTCCACCGTGCAGCGCAGTTCCGGGCGTCGCAGTCAGAAGCTCGACGCAACGGCGGGTACGACGTCCTCCTCCGCTACCCCACGAGGCACCGCTCACCGAGCATCGCACCGGCGTGCCGTGGCACCGCGTGTTGACCTCGCACGCAGTTTCAGTACCCTTTCGCGCCTCAGCAGCAACGCACCGCTGCCCACGCCGACGGAGGGGCCGCAGCTGCTGGAGACTGAGCGCGTGTCGACGCGGCAGCATGACGCGTTGACGAAGCACTGCGCACGTGTGGCGGCCCGCGCTGAGGGGCCGGCCGTCGCCGCGCCTGTCACCACAACCGAGGCGAAGACGAAGAAGGTGAGGAGAAGTGTCCCTGCCGCGTCTCGTGCAACAGCGACCTCTGCGGCAGTTCCCTCGCAGCCGCAACCGAGGCCAACCGCCGCGCCTGGAAAGGCCGATGCCGAAGTGCACAAGAAACTGGAGTTCGAAGTGCCAGGGGAGGAAGCAGAAGAGGGCGAGGAACCGGTGCCACAGACGGTGGTGCCGAAGTCCTGTCAGCGCTTCAGCACACCGGCCCGTCAGGCAAGCGAGGGGGCGAGAGGTGCGGGCCGCGTTGCTGCTCCGGAGGCGTCATCGCCGCCCACTACCCTGCACGGATGCCGCTCGGAGGAGGACGCCACCCCGTCCAAATCGCGGCGTCGTGAGCACGACGTCACCGCCTCTCTGCCGCGCGAAGAGACAACCAAAACAACCGGCAACAGCACTAACACCAATGATGCCGATGAGGCATGCTTTGTGGCGCAGGATGCAGCGATGGCGCGCGAGAAGGAAGCCGCCCACGTACAGCGAGCCCGCGAGGTGCTGGAGGGCAGTCGGCTGGCGCGGCAGGCCCGTGCGGAGACTGCTCGCACGCTGCACAACGTCGACGCTGGAACGTCTGTCTCCACCAACGAGGTCGTCGCGGCGATGCTGCAGGGGATCGTGCAGCAGACGCGCCAGGTGCTGCCCTGCTACCTGTGCGGTGAGCTGCAATGCACCTCCGGCTACCATGTACACGTCAAAGCATGCCGGCCGAAAACGGAAGGAATTTTAAGGGAGTACTTCACGGCCGTCGCCGGGCTTGCGGATATCCCTGCGGAGGTGAAGGAGCACATAGATCGTCTGGCCTTACAAGAGGTGCCGTCGAGCAGCTCGGACGTGTCCGTTCGCGACGCCTTTGCGAAGGAGTGCTATCAGTGTGTGAAGAGCACGTTGGTGCCGTGTCGCAAGTGTGGGACGCACCTCCGCGTTCAGGATGTGAAGGAACACGAGATGCTGTGTGGCCGTGCGTACTACCAGAACAGCCGCGCAGCGGAGCGAGTGCGTTCCGCCGTCGATCGCATTGAGCGCGGCTCACAGGAGTGATACGTGTCGCCATACCAAACCTATTTCCTTTTATCTTCCGTACAGCACTTTCTTTTTTATTATTATTGTGGCCTAGCGGGGCGTAGATTACATCGCCTCTCTTCTTTCTTCTGAGTTAAAGTAGCAAAACAAAATGCTTTACTTCGCTTCACTTATCACGGAGATCGGCTCTCTCGCCACCTGTACTTTATTTCCCTTGTACGTTTTCGCTTACCCAACGTACTAGATCGCTTGTACCGACACTCTTTTCGACTTTTTATTCTTTTATTTCTTGTGGAGGCAACGACTCCATTGACCTACGTGCACTGTTGTGGAAGTGAGGCCTGGCACACGAGATGAAGGTAGGGAAAGAAAGAAATAAACCATCTGATCTGCATGGGCACGTATTTTGTCTCAACGACATCGAGCAAGAACGAAAAGCTCAAAAAACCCTTGCCCGCTTTGTGTCGCACTTCGTTTTTACGTGAGTGGTGTGCGCATCGCAAGACGTTGATGAATACGGTGTTTTTTTTTTTGTTAATGTGAGGTGGTGTTTACCTGCCAAGGACGCAACAGCACACACACACACACCTACTTGTGTCTCCAGCGCTAAGCTCACGTATTCGTTAGCAGCCTCGGATCGTCGTTGGAGCTGCCATCGTTCTTGTCTTTCGCCCGTCTTAACGCTCTTCCAGTTTTCCTTCAAAGAAGAAAGAGAGAAGAAAACAATTTGTTTCTTTCTTTTCACAGTAGACGTTGTGCCGACGAGCAAAAATGGCTAACGCGGAAGGCGATCTTATCGCATCCTACTGCGTGGGCCTCGTCTCTGCGTTCCGCCGGCTTAGCCAGGACTTGTGTATTCCCCAAATTGACCAAGAGCTTTACACTGATTTGTTTATCTCCCCCCTCGAAGCACAACTGTGCGGCAACGAAGGTGGGGGTGCCGACGCCGCTGCGTCATCAGCGCCGAAGTGGAACACATCTGCCTCCGATGTGCAGGCAGAGGCGCTCGTTTCACTCGGAGGGGCGGAGCTCATTGTGACGGCGCTGCGAGCACACGAACAGCAGACTCTGCAGGTACTGGGTGCCATCGCGCTCCGCGAGAGCGTTGTGACGCGCATGTGGTCTTGCTGTGACGCCTTCGACAAGACGAATATCTCGGCATCGGAGGAGGTGAGATTTACCTTTTTGCGGCTGCTGCAGGAGCACCAACTCGTGACTCTGCTCACTACCGAGTCCATCTTTGAGTGGCGCGAGATGCTGAGCCGGCCCTATCCCTTTCTTCTGCGCAACGGAGAGAATTACCTGCAGGTTGTTGTCGATGACTGCACCGCGTTTGACGCACACGCGCTCGTGCGGTCGCTCGCAAGCATTCGTCTTCGCCACGACCCGCTCTGCGCCAAGGTGAATCTGAAGCGGATGCTGCATCGACTGGAAACGATGCGTCGGTCGCGGTTGATTACGACGGGGGCGCTGTGGAATGTTGGCCTTCGCCCTCTCCAACCGTCTCCGCCAGCGCGCAGTCGCAGCCGTAGCGCGGGGGTGCGGCGTCCGCCTAGTGCCGCGAACAACAAGGACGATAAGGCTGCTAGGGGGCCCGTGAGCCGCACTTCGTTGCCCATCCCACGAACACCGCCGCGATCGGCGCCACAGAGGACCAGCGGCGCTCTCCTCTATTACGGCGGCAAACCCGACGACTCGGTTGGGGAGGTTACGCTCCTCCACAACGCTTTTGCGCGGCAGCACAGCGGCAGGGAAGGCATGGCCTCGCAGGTGTCTGGCGTCACGTCAGCGTCCTCGCCGGGGAACGGTTCCACGGCAAAGTGCTATCCCACGCCGCGTCCCCCTCCGCGCAACGACAGCGCCGAAACACGACAGAGGCAGCAGCATCGACTCCTCACTGTCGCACACATCATCGAAAACGAGACAGCGCTGCAGCGTAAAATAGTCGAGGAGCTGTACGAACTGGCCCACAGCAAGGAACGCTTCGTGCCGCTGCTGGACATCCCGCAGCTCTTCAGCAACGCCGGTGCGCCACCAGCGCAGGGGGCGGCGCTGAAGTTACTGAAGACCAACTACCCAGGAGACAGCTGGCCGCTGGACCGGGCGCAGTGGCCGGCCGTCGTCGCAGCGGAACGACGCATCGATCGATTAGGTTGCATGTCGACCGCGCGTGAAGCACTGCAGACCTGCAATTTGCTTCCTGCGTGGCAGCAGCGGATGGGTCGACGAATGAGCGACATCTCCACGCACCTGCGTAGCCACTCAAAGACGAGCGCCACGTCGGCCTCCGCGTCGGCGGATGGGCCGCCCACGCCATTAAAGGCAGCGACGAACGCGAGAGTGCAGTCAGCGCACTCGCTGACCTACTCCGACTCCATGGAGCGCCCAAGCGCAGGCAGCGCGTCGGGGCTTGCCGTCGACACACGACGCCCCGTGATGACCGCCGCAGAGCAGGCGTCCGCCTATTCTTACATGTCATCGTCCTTGTCCGCCTCCACCCCCAGCTCCTCTGTGTCCCGTGCGGACAGTGCGAAGGGCAAGAAGGCACAAGAGAATAAGAGGACGGCTCCACCGGCTCATTCGGAGTCTTTTCCCTCCAGTTCCGAATCGAAGAGCGACCACAACGGTAACCGGACATCTTATTCGGCTACCTTGCCGAATGCAAACGGAGATCGTAGTCCCAACCATCACCATGCCGAGAATGGCGAAGGTGAAAGCGGCCGTCGCCAAGCCGCTCCTTCGGCCTCACCGGCCTCTTCTGTCACTCCGTCATCGTCGCACCCGTCTTCTTCGGTGGAACCGGACTCCAAAAGGCCTTCGTTGGACGAGCTTCGCGAGCAGCTGTTGGCGGAACACCGCTTGAATTCCAGGTCCCAGAGCTACAATCTGTGACAGAGAGCGAACGTTATTCTCTCCTCTTCTGGTTTTCTCTCTTTTCACGCAATAGAACTTTGTTTCAATTCCTCTCCTCCTCCTCCTCCTTTTTTTTTTGTTTACTGTATTGATTTCTCAAATAGCGCTCCAGCTCGGTAGCTTCCTCAAACGGTAAAAGAAACGACACAGAGAAATACTGCGTGAAAGTTAGACAGGTCGAATCACTTTGTCCAGCATCATCGTCATCAAAAGCACAGCTATCACATAATAATGATGAAAACGGTTCTACAAAGAAGTGGTGCAATACACCTGTTAGGCGTCTCGATGAGCCCATCGGAACTCCCAGGTTTCACTCTGTTGTCTTCTTCACTTTCTGTTATTATTGTTACTATTATTTGAGCATTTCCCTCCATGTTTCTCTGTCCTTCGTGAATTTCGTGAATTTCGTGTGTTCTCTGCAGCAGGCAAGCACACCAACGTCTGTTAGCTGTGCCGGTTTTCTAAACCTCCACTTTGGGTTTGCCATCGGTGCTCCTGGAAACCTGTAGACTTTTTATTGAAAGACACACTTCTATCGCTCACCATCTCGTAGGTATTTTAGCACCCGCCTTTTCTTTCTCCCCACTCAAAAACAAAACCAAAACAGGTTGCCCCACAGAGAAATCAACGATGACAACCGACACCCCCACCCAACCGCAGGAGCCGGCGGACGCGGCGACCGCGACATCCAGAAAGGCAGATCCGACCAAGTTGACCTTCCACTCCTTACACGACGACGCACATGACGCCTTTGAGCAGGACAAGTATCACCGTGCTCGCACCCATATCGGTGGTTTAGGACACGTGAGTGCTAAGGACGTCTTCAAAAACTACAAGCGCTCGTGGTTGACTCCTTTCTTCGGCTCCAACGAGCCGGAGCCTATCTTTGAGGAGGAAAAGAATCTGCATCCTTGCCAAATTTTCTCACGCGACGTGCACCTGTGCTTAGAGGTCAACAACAACAGTTTTGCGCTGTGCCAGACCCGTGTGGCTGCCTTTCAACACTGCCTTAAAGAGTTCTCTATGTAGAGTTCCGAGCAACACTTCTTGCCTGTCGCTGTCCCTTAGCTTCTCGCTCCCGCTCTCTCCTTTCTTTTGCCTTCTGTTGCTAGCTTTGCCGATCGAGTGCTGCTTTGCACTCACACCTTCCCTTTCTGTTTAAAGAAGAAAAAAGGATCAGTGCTCACTGCATTCTGTTCGTGATGTAATGGGTTAGTTCTGCGGCGACACGTTTCGTGCCTTCTCTTACCTTTTCTGTTTTGCTCCCTCTTTTCTTTTATGCTGTAGAATGCGGAGTACGTATTAGAGTATCGTCGCTACATCACGCGGCGCAAATAGGAATAGGTGGTGCCCGAAATTTAGGTTCTCTTTTCTTTTCATCCCCGACGAAACGGATGCCTGCGGAGTTGTGAATTATCGCTGCTAAAAAAAAAAACCCAACAGCAATCAAAGAGTTTATTTCGAGCCGTATGACGCGCATCCGCACAAAATGCCCGTTGATTGGTTTCTCGGACCTGTACAGTATTAAGAAAGTATACGCTTCAGCATTTTCTTGTTGGCTTGTCTTTGCTTTGCTCGTATCTATCGATTTTTTTTTTTAAAGAAAGTGAAAGAGTTTAGTAGCGGCTGCGTGACAACAAACACCTTCACATCATGAACGAAACGAGTCGATTCTGCCGATGGATTGCGAAGAGGTGCGGCTTTCATTTCTGCGACGCAAGAGCGGTGAGGACTCATCTTCGTGCAGCGATAAATGAATGCCGATTCATTTCTTCCTCCCACAAAGGCATCCAAAGAGATGCAACGTGGGAAAACTGAGGTTGTTTTTATTAGTATTATTCGTATGGGCAATGGTGAAGCCTTTTCTTAAAGTGGCTCCACCTCCCTAAAAACAAAAGAGATGTCTATGTGCCACTGAAATTGTCTTTTTTCCATGTTTCATTTTCTTCTTTTTTTTTCTCTAGATTATTGGAGTGGCGTTAAGGTGGCGAGCGTTGTACGTACATACACACACCCATATATATATATATATATATATATATATATATATATATA